GTCTTTGCATGCCTTCAAACAAACATACAATCTCTTGAATATTGGGTTGCCCTCATTCTCTTCTACATTGACTTTCACAATAGATATAGAATTTCACCTCAGAAGCTCATTTGCATAGTCATATACTTTTTTATATTGCTCTAGCAAAGAACCATCCTGGTGTATGCCATTGTTTTGGTCCAAAAGGTCATAGACCTAAAGACATTAATGTTTCATTTCTTACCAAATTTGTTTCCAAGGTCAATAAGATTAATTAGATTCTTTCTTATTGTCTTCTCTAACCTACCATTTAACCACTTTGAAGTCATTAAATAGACATTAAATTCCATATTGTAACTATGCATGTTGATAATTTCTCTTAAGTGACAAGTATGTGTTGAGCCTTATAAGCATAATAAGCATATCACTCACATTTTCCTTTTGCGTCAAAACATTCCACACAAACTCTTCATTTTTCACTTTTAAAAATCTTCAATTCTCTACCATTATGCACACCATAAAATTTTTCATTTTTAAAAATCTTCAGTTCTCTACCATTATGCACACCATAAGTTCTTATTGTTTTAGCAAACTCTTCCTTTTCTGTGAAGTACATGCCAACTTCCCATTTATAGTCTTCTACACTTTTTGTACATTGAAAATATTCCAAAGTTTTCATATCTATCTCTAGAATCACTATATTCACCACTGTCTAAACTTTCATATTATCATTCAATGTGAGACAAATATCTATCATTTACATCTTTAACTACTTCCTTTGACATTTGGCTAGAAGATCCATTCAGCCCAACCACTTCAACTTCGACATTACCTTCCCAAAATTCATCTTCCACTTTATCTCCATGGATACTAACATCCACTATTTCATCTTCACTTAAAACGTCCCCTTCAGACTTATTCCAACTACTAGATCAAAGTCATGCTGACCTTGACCCTCCCCTTCCCCCTCCGCATCAACTTTAGTCTCATCCTCCCCTCTACATGAACTACATTTTCATAGTTCCCATCTCTTTTCACAACAACCTTAGGCTAACCCTCAATCTCACCCTCCACATTAGCCTTTTGTTCACAGTCACCCTCTCCCTCCATAAAACCTTCAGGCTCACCCTCACTCTTACCCTCCACATAAACTTATTGTTCACAGTCACCCTCTCCCTCTACAACAACCTTAAGTTGACCCTTACCCTCCCTATCACCTCTATATCAACTTCAGGTTCACATTCATCTTCACCCTTAACCTCATTGATACAACCACCCCTATTACTATCACCCTCATGAGGAAAATATTTTAATATATTTACTATTTGAGGCTTGAACACTATGTGTACAACATACAAGTGAACTTTACCATTAAGTGTGGCAATGTTCTCCAATGACATGCCATTTTGTCATCACACAACAATTCCAACCTTCCTTCCAACACAAAACATTCACCTATTGAATACCACATTTTCTTTACATTGACGTAATCCATGTCCTTTAGAATTCATAAAAATCTCAAAGTAGCTCCATGTGTCTGAGTCACGTGACAAAGTACCATTTTCTTAAACATATTTCTATGACTCATTATTCATAAACTTTCCACCATGGTGAAACACCACTTCAAAACTCGACTCATACATCTCAACTAATATATATATATATATATATATATATATATATATATATATGTGTGTGTGTGTGTGTGTGTGTGTGTATATATATATATATATATAACCTATGAAATATGAAAATTCTCCAAGAATATAAGAGATATTACATTGCATACCACAAACACACTAAAAGACGAATTTGAAATGGGGAACTACAACCTCAAGATCTACACATAATGGTGGACCACCACTTTCAACTATATTCATAAACAAGTATTGATTCAATCACATTACATACTAAATTACAAAAAAGGGCAACATTGAAAGATGAAAAACATAAAAAACACTAACCCTAAACCTAGTAATGATTGAAATAATACAATAGGAACAAAAACCCAAAATCAACATGCACAATGATACATATTGAAGACATATGCTCCTTTGATAGAAAATTCAACTCACTTCGTTGTTAATGGAAGCTTGATTTTTCACTTTCACTTGAAAATCTTGCAAATCGCACAAAATCCCAAAATCATCTTCTCGTTGTCTTGGCGTAGATAAAGAAAGCCCCTATTCCAATTTGGTTTTTAATTTTATTATTTTTCTTATCAATCCAAATTTGTACATCATAAAATACTTATGTGTTACGTTTGCATAAATTTCAACGAAGCCATATTTAAGCAATCAACATTAAGGATTTAAACAACATCAACAAAAAAGGACTTGATTAATGTACATTACAAATTTGGAGACAAAATTGGCCCAAAATTAAAAGTAGGGACCAAGTTGACACACTCTTAAAGTGAAGACCATCCGAGTAATTAAGCCTAAATCTAAATCTGGTGTAAAGAGGGTTCAAACATATTCAAGATCATTCATACATATATTTATTGTCTATATATGGATGCAAGTAGTTAGAGATGCTTCATGATTACTTACGATATATGCATTTGCACTTACTTCATTTTAAGGATGAAGTCTTATATATCTTTAAAGTTTTTAATGCTAAAGTAAAGTTGTAATGTGGAAAACTAATTAAAATTGTGAGATCAAATAGAGATAGAGAATAGTATGATAGATACACAGAGAATAGACAAGTATCTGGCTCACTTGATAAATTTCTTCAAGAGCATGAGATTTTGGCCTAATACATCATGCCTAGTTCTCTAGATCAAAAATGGTGTGACAAAAATAATATGTTAAACTTTAATGGATATCGTTAGAAACATGAGGAATAATTCAAAACTTAATCAATTCTTGTGGATGGAAGAACTTAAGACAATTATGTAAGTTCCAACTAAGGTTATTTTAAAGACACTTTATGAGCTATTCAAAGGTTAGAAATTCAATTTATGACATGTACATGTTTTGGGATGCGTGTTTGAAGTGAGACTTAATAATTGATAAGAAAAGAAACTAAACCCCAAAACTATTAGTAGGTATTTTCATTAGATATGATAAAAAATCCAAAGGGTGTAAATTCTATTTTCCATCTCAAAGCACTAATTATGGAATAAAAAAAATGTAAAGTCTCTTAAAAATGATTTAATTTGTAGGAGTGATTTAATTCAAGATATGGGTTTCAAAAAAAACATTATGAAGTACAACTCTCTCAATCAAATAATAGATTGTTATTCATTCACATTCCTCCAATTCAAAAACGTACTAATTAACAATCAGTTATTTAAGTTCTCCTGAATATAATGAAAACTATGTATGAAATTAATTTCTCTATGTGTTGAATATACACATAGGGTACTCTATTTATAATACAAGAGATATAGGTTAAGCCCAAAATACAAATAAGAAATAATAACAAACTAACTAAAAATAAAAGATAAATATAAGATAAAGTATCTAATAATCTAATATATCTAACAAGTTCCATAAGTTATTAAAGATGATAGTATATATCAAGTTGTTAAAGAATAACAAGAAGTAAATGTTAAACAACCAATTAAGTAACTGGTTGATTAAGTTTCTCATCGAGGTAACGAGACAACATTAAGAAGATCTATTAGTAACTATGAGGTGTATTTACAAGCCATAAGTTTTAAGGAATCGAATTTGTGATATATGCTATGAAAGATGAGATGGATTATATGACTTTTAATCCAGTCTAACATCTTATTAACTTACCTAATTGTGTATAATCTATTTGATGTTGATGGGTTTTCAAAACTAAAAAAGACTCGTAAAATAGTATTGAGAAACACTAAACAAGTCTCCTTATTAAGATATTAAGTACTTCTTGATTTACCAATTGCTTAATTATTGGATGTGTCATAATTTCCGGTACCACAACATAAACTATTATTTATTCACATCACATCATTTTAACCCAATTGTAATGTTCATAGTTCACCAAAAACAACAATTTTTTTATGTGTTTGACCATGTAAAAAAAATTGAAAAATTAAAAGAAAAATCCAAAAAGGTTAATCTTAAAATGAAAATCAAATTCTTAAAAGAAAAAATATGATCACAAAAAGTCTTTTTCTAAACATAGAATAAAATCACTACTTAAAAACTAAATTACATGTTCTAACAATAGTCTTCTCATATGAACTCAAGGTTATTCCTAAATAGATATGTAACTCACTTCCCTTAATCTCCTTAGTTTTCTCATACCTAAAAAATATTGGAAATATGAACTGTAGAACCAAAATCAATCCATTGCTTTTATTCTTTCTTCATATGTCATTACTTTTACAAAAGAAATATTTTGACTCTTTCTCTGTAATTTGGTTGAGTAAGAATCTTTTTCTTATGGTTAAAGCGACAATCAAATTAACCTTTTTTTTCCTTTCTTCAATTAGTGATATTTTCTTTTATTGGACACACATAATCAATAATTCATTAAAAAAAAAAATATTAATGGAATCAATAAACCTATTTTCCTAGATATATAAAATTAATATATTTAAATTTTAAATTAGACTAAATTATAAATTCAAACACAAAGAACTAAAAATAAAATTTAATTTGTTTTTCTACTGAAATAACAATTTTTTTTTTGTCAAATTTTATTGGAAACAAATATCAAAGGTTTTCTCATTGGAAACAAATAACATAACTCATCTTTTTTGGCGCAACCCGCATTTAGCCCGGGCGTGACACTTTTTTCTTACCCTCTCCGTATAACATCCATACCCCCGTAAACAAGTCTAGTTTGTGGAGATAAAAAGTATATGGGCATGAGATCGTACTTTTATTTGATAGTTTTCACCGAAACGAATCTTCTGGTTCCATACAAAGGATAGTCACATCTATGTGACTACCCCATTATCCTATGCAGCACAAACGAAACCTATTTTCTCCCTTTTCAAGTTTCTTATGATGTATGCATATGGAGTGTGGTATAGCATATAGGGTGTCTAAAAAATAACACAAGTTAATTAATCTCTTAACAAAAAAGGATAACATTAAAAATCTAGTGAAATTAAATTGAAGGACATTGTTTAGGGTCATGTACTAGGCCTTTTAGAGTAAGTTGTGGTGATTGTAATGCTTTCTTTCGCGAATATTGACCCTCTATCCTACCATCCATTATGTTTCTTTAGAAGAGAGACGAAGCTTACTCCAATCTTCCAGTTTCTTCTCTCTGGAGGTTGTGTCAAGTGCCCTCATGCCTGTCAGCATTTCAAGAAGCACTACACCAAACATGTACACATCACTCTTCACATACAAGTGGCCTCTTCAAATATTTATACAGTTCACAGGCAAATTAGTTTGTGGCAGATAAAAGAACTATACATACTAGATTTCTAATTATAGACTTCCTTCCCCAAGTTCAACTTCCACAGAGCATAACTGTTTAAGGAGAATTTGTTTTAATTTCTTGTTTTATTCAAAATTACAAAAAAAAAAATGTTTGTATACCGCCTTATTTTTCATCTCAGAAATACTGAAGACAACACTTTTCCTGCTTTCTTTTGATTTTTTTTTTTGTATGAATCTCTGAATCCAAGAAATGAAGTGATATTTTAGAAATTATACGTTAAAGTAGGAGATAAAAACGAAAAAAGAAATCTGAAAATAATTCGACAATGTTAATTTTTTACAATATTTTGCTTGCATTTTCTTATTACGTAGCAAAGCATGTAAATAATCTATGTTCATATTGTGGTCATCAGTACAGTCAAAAAGCATACATTTAAAGCTGCTCTAATTGCTAATTGTGTGCAGATATAATTTACCTGTTGCCACATATTATGTATTTTGGCCGGTAAGAATACACTTAAGACTGTTTCTTTTTCTTTTCCAAATAAAAGTAGTGCCTCTGAAAGTTCAATACTGCCCAGATCAAGTGTCTGAGACCAATTTCAGGCCAAAGTGCAGTTGGTGCATATAAAGGACATGTAGTAGTCTGCCAAAGTAGAAAATTACTGAGGCGAGCTTCTCCAGAAGATCGGATCAAGATGTCTGGGTCAGGAGCAACTGCCATGTACATGTTCTTTTCAATATCCGCCAGTTTTATAAAAGGAACCTCATCTTGTATATCCTTTCTCTCTTCACTCAATTCAACCAGCCCATTGTATAATGTCGTTTCAGCTTCAGTGTCGTTACCGATATTATTCTCAAATAAACCATCATTCCTTGCAACACTTTCTACTTCGGTACTACAAGATTTGATTGCATTTCGATATTCTTTACATGAATCTTGAGAAAGCAAATCAAAATCATTTCCTTTCAGGCCCTGATCAATTCTTGAAAACGCACCATTTGCAACTTTCTCTTCTTTTAACGCTTGAACTTCATTCAATTTTTCCTTGCAACATTCTTGAACAGCATGCACAATCTCGTGACGAGAAGTATACGCTACACAAATCAAAAGAACTCTCTGGTTGTTGTGGGCAGTAACTCTCGTTGCCTTTTCCACAGTAGCCCTGACAGGCTCTGTCAGTAGTTTCGTGTCTCCAATGAAATGTAATCTAACACCATACTCATTAATGAGACTTTCTTGTTCAAGCAACTCCTCTATCTTTATCCGCATCAGTTCCATCAAGGATTGAACTTCTGTAGACTTCCTTTTAAAGTTATCAATGCTGAATGCATAGACAGTTACATACTTCACTCCTAATTCATAGCAGTATCTAAGGAGGCACGTGAGAGCATTAAATCCAGCCTTGTGGCCATCACCTTCTTCCATGTTTTTCTTCCTTGCATACCTTCGATTCCCATCCATGATGAAAGCAATATGACTTGGTACAGGACCCACAGATAAAATGGCAAACATACATCTTCTTAGATAACAATTTAAACCACCGAAGAATTGGCCTACAATATTTCCAGTAGTTTTCCGCATTGAACCGTTCAGTTGTGAAACTTGAATAGTCCAAGATAAACCTGATTTAAAAAAAATTAATTATAAGGTAGAAATAAGAATTAAAGCAACAAGTCCAACAATGTTAGAAGATTTCAGTCAACAATGTTGCAGAACCCATTTGAAGTTTTGCTTGGCTTGCATCAAACTGGACCTATAGGGGAATATGCAGGGTTCATGAAAGGAATGCAACAAGATTACTTGGTGGGCATATTCTTGAATGGGCGGAAGGAAGACATAAAGGCGGAGGTTAAACTTTATGAACCCCAGAATCTTGCTGAGTTAATGATGAAGGCTCAAATGGTGGAGGAAAAGGTTAGAGTCACCACCAAGGGGGACTATCTCACTGTGCAACTTCAAAGTAACACCTATAGACAATTGCCACCTACTTGCAGTTACTCAAAGGAAGGGGGAAATTCAGTGGCTTTTACCAACTCCAACAGAGGAAGTGGAGAGAGCAGTGGCTGTGTGAGCACCATCACTTGTTCTCCTGCTGGGACTCAACAAGGAGGGACACCATTTAGAAAATTGTCCCAAGAAGAATTGCAAGATAAGATAAGAAAGGGCTTATGCTTCAGGTGTGATGAAAAGTTTGGGCCTAATCATATTTACAAAAATAAACAGCTCCATATGATGCTTATTTCGGAAGAGGAAATGCAGATGTTAGGGGAATCTACTGCCTGCATTCATAAAGCATTTCCAGAATTTTACCTTGAGGATAAGGTGCAACTTCATGGAGGGGTATTGATAGGTTTGATACAGTTTACAAAATAAGGAAAAAAGAAGGTAGTTCGTCTAGTTGAAAACACCTCTCACCCATTGAAAACAGCTAGGAAGATGCTACTACCATCACTAAGGAGTTTCTTGCTTTTCACCTTGAGGACAAGGTGAAACTTCATAGAGAGGGTATTGATAGGTTCAAGGGAAATGTTTATATTAGGAGAAATAAAAGGGATGTGGGTAGGTTTTATTAGCTCAGACTTTTATAAAGTCTGTGTAGACACTTGTTTAACAGTTTTTCATTGTTTTTGTACATTTTGAAAAGAATAGGAAGAGTGGAGAGTCTGGTTCTCTCGAACAACCAGAAATTGTATGTGTTTGGTTTCTCCACATTGGAGGAAACCCGGTATGTTGTTGGAATAAAGATATGTAGTTTCTAAAACATCGCATTATAGGTCTGAAAACCTATCACAGTGTGTTTTTGTTTCTCATACAGTTTAATAAAGTTGAAGGTATTCTGGTCCAGCGTGAATAACATTTGAATTATAACGCTCACAGAAATCAGGTTTTCATCCTACTTTGGTTTCATTTTTTTCTTTTTGAGTTGAAGGCTAATTAAGCACCTTTAAAATGGGGCTGAAATTCATGCCAAAAAGCACATTTAAAGCCTGGATCAAATAGACATACAACCATCATATTTAATGGGCGAAAACCAGCTTCCTATGTAAGTTGTTAAACTTGAAATAAAATGCATGAAACTCTGCTATGACAGGACTACAATATTTAGAAACTTAAATGCAGAATTTTGACATTTTACTCCACTTTAATGCTTCAATTCTACAATATCAACCTAAACAACAAAGATGCAAAATTTTCATAAAAGAAATTCACTTTTAACTAGATAAATACATATAAATCAAATACACAGAAAAAAATGGCCAACCTATGATGCCAGTAGTACCTGATAACAGCCTTCTTGAAACCCTATGATTTCATCAACTAAAAGTGCTTCGTTGGTTTCTTGAACGTCCCTAATTCTGAAAGAAAATATCACAAATATGGTCAGTTCAAAAGCACAAAGTGCACAAAAAACCAGAATGTGTAAAATGTTCATAACTTGTTTAATTCCAAGTCACAGTTCAACCAATAAGTCAGAGGAGTTGGGACTTTCTCACTTCCTAAATGAAAGGCCTAAAATATATACTAGCTATGACTACAGATCTATTATGACTTTAACAGATAATACGTAAATAAATTGTGTAAAATACAAAAAAAAAAAAAAAAACTCAGATGCAACAGAATGATCACACATAGTCTTCATAACCCTCCTAGTGTTTGCTCCTATTGCTCCTCGTTCATACATATGCAAGTATAATGGTTTTCATTGTATTTCAAGAGATGGGTTGAAAATTTAGTATAAAAACAACAAAACGAATATGAATACTCCTTTCAGCTACATCCATCAGCTTTGATCTTGAAGAAAATGTGATTGCCAAGATAGATGCAGGGAAGCGACAAAATATACAAAAAGATTTAATCAGAAGCAAGAATTTCCAATGTTATCTTTCTAACCCATATGAAATAGGTATTTGCTGCTAGACTAAGTTATGTTGAGAATATCAGAGTAAGAGCTTTACTTAATTAATTAGATTGGATAAGGTGAAAATATTTAGTTAGCCAACAAAAAATGTGAACATATGTCCAGAAGTGGTAAACCAGGGTGCGTATGAAAAACAAATTCAGCATGTTACAGGACACAGACAATAAAAAGAGCATGCTACAACTACATTAACAAACTGACATGTTTTAGGTTTGCGAGAAGGCAATCCTGGTCATTAAAATGAAAAACTAAAAATCACTGTCCTTTCAACACTGATGGGTTGATAACCAATCACCCCTAAGACTGATAAATATATAGTGAAACCCTGTTAAACCTGTACCAGTGCATTAATAAGGACCTGTAAAACAGTATTGAAAGAAAGATGCGCGGTCATCGAAACTATTGAAAAAAATCAATTCTCAAGTTCATTCAAGCATCCCTTCAAACACTTGGCAGGTGCAGGAAAATTAACACCCAGTCGTTCGAAAGACAAAAATCAATTTCAAAAACTCTCGAAATCTATCTTACCGCAACTGTCAGGACCAATAATTGATATTAAACATTAAAACAAAAACAGCAAAATTACCATTAATTAAGGAAACAAGTCATGATTAAAAGTAAGAAAAGACTTCTTGTAAAAGTAAGGAAGGGACAAAAGGAAAACCCTGTAACAAAGAAATCATCTCATAAAGTACAGTAACATGGAGAACCGGAGGAAAAAACCTCAACTTAAATTAAAATAATAATTTAATCACTTTTATAAAAATAAAAAGAGTCTTTGGGATCACTTGGAGGAGGGAAAATTTACATGTGGTCTGAATTGAAGCAAAATCCCAAATAATTGAGAGCGTCTACTAAGCACGTTCTCATTCCCAAAGCCAAGTGAATAATTCTCATAACTGACGTGGCAAAGTGTTTATGTTAGTCTTATTTGGTGACAAGGAACAACGAAGATTCGTTGAACGTGGAATTGTTTGTTTGATAAATAATGAATATCATAGGCTAACTTTGACAGTAGAAGGAGCAGATGAACTTGCATACAATTAATCACTTACCCAGCAGAAAAATCAAACTTACGTCATCGAGGAAAAAGACAGAACAAATAGAACCCAAATGAATGACAAATTTCAATTAAGCATATCTAATGCCACTAGTGTTATGATCATAGACTAACAACAATAATTTAAAATATCTATAACGAAGAGAATCTACCATTGTTCTTACTAAAGTTAAAATAAAATCAATTAAAGAAAAAATGAGCAGGGAGATAGGAGCAAAAAAGTTGAGCTTGTAGTTAAAAAAACACTTGGGAATCAAGATTTAGGGTTTATTTCGCAGCTTTTTAAAAAATAAGAGAATAAATAAATAATATATCAACTATATGCTTTTAGCTTAATGATAAAGTATTATGTAAGATAAGTTTTTTTATTTTTATCATAATAATTCTTTTATATTACAGATATTTCCAGGACAATAAAAATCTAGAACCTTTAAAAAAACTAATTCCAGTATTACCCATTCATAGATAAATATAAATTAACTCTTAAACTTTAGGTTTAATACATCATTTGGTCTTAATTTTAGGGGGTTTGGTTCAAAATGGTCTTACCTTTTGAAAAAGTTCAGTAAGGTCCATATTTTGTTTAAAAATGTTCAATTCAGTCCTTTTCGTGGACGCTGTTAAAAACTTAACGGTGCTGATGCCACTGTGGTCAAATCTGAGTAAGGGGTTATGTTGGATGATTAAGTGGCATTGTGAAATGAAGTGAGTTGGTGGAAATATTTTAAAAAAATAAAATGACTTAATTTGGGTTGTAGGTTTAAGTGTGGGTTAAACAAAAATTACCTTTATCTAAGACTGATTTGAGGATTTCTGGGTAAAACATTGTGCTGCAAGTGGTTCCAGATAATTAGGGTTGGGGATTTGGGGATTTCTTTTAATTATAATTAATTAGGGTTGGGATTTCCTTTTAATCACTTTTAGTTATCAATTTCTATTCATTTCTAAATTCTAATTGGATGCATTAGGTTTGAACCCTAAATTTAATTCCCAAATGCTTGTTTCACACCTAAAGAACTCTAATAACAACTTTTTTCCCAAATCCTTTTCTTGTCTCGAACAAACCCAACTTGGGAGGGTGTTCTTCGATCACGCGCGAGAGAAGCTCGCTACGGGGAGGTGCTCTTCTTTTTCGTTTCTGGTTCTGTTGTGGCTTCGTAGGAAGGGGGAGATATCATTCTTTGTCTTTCCTTTCTTCTCTGTTTCTGGTTGGTTTTTCGCATGAAGAAGAAGCAAGTTTCGGTGGTAGAATCATCGTCAATCAAACAAAATATAATTAAACCCTAATCCCAAATACAACAACATCAACTTATTAGCCTTGGTTATGACCACTTATCTCACGCACGCATGTACGCTGTTCCAATTTCATTTTGAAGGAATCACCAGCCAAAACCACTTGCAGCACAATGTTTTACCCAGAAATGCCTAAATCAGTCTTAGATAAGGGTAATTTTGATTTAACCCACACTTAAACATACCACCCAAATTAAGTCATTTTATTTTTTTAAAATATTTTCACCAACTCACTTCACTTCACTTCACAGTGCCACGTAATCATCCAACATAACACCTCACTCAGATTTGGCCACAGTGGCATCAGCACCGTTAAGTTTTTAACGGCGTCCACGAAAAGAATCAAATTGAACATTTTTAAAGAAAATATAGGGTCTTATTAAACTTTTTCAAAAGATCAAAATAATGTATTAAACCTAAACTTTAAGATATTAGATATGGAAAATGAATTAACTCAAGATGGGACCTTTTTCTAAGTAAACTACTTAAATTCAGATAAACTTTCCCAGACTCTCTTTGAGTAAAAAAAACATTAATTAAATGTAATTAATGTTAAAATAATGATGATTAATTTTTGTTTTAAGAAATATTCAGTCAATAAATCTAGCTTTTAAATAAATATAATAGCCAGTTTTCGGATTCACAGACAAAAAAGGTTAACTTGGTTTAACTTTGAGAAAGAAAGATCAAAATCATTTCATTACAATCTTATATTGATATCCAATAGTTTTCTTATTTTTAAAAATTAAATTTAAAAATAATTGATGAAAAATTGTCACATCTAATAATCTATATAAGATAAGAAGTAAAATATGAAAAGTTGTTCTATTTTGCAATATTGAAACAAATCCTTATATATTATTTTTTTATGTCATTTGATTTTTTTTTTTCTTTTAAATAAAGATTACTCTGTATATTAATTTAGTTTTAGATATTTTTTTAATTTAAATAAGGAAGAAGAAAAATTATTTATTGCGTTTCAAATCCAATTACACTGTCCTTGACCTTTCGAATTTTAAATGCAATACAAAGATAATGTAATAACGGAACACTGAAAGTATTATCTGAGATTCAATCTTTGCAAGTGAAAAATTCGAGAATCTTAATACAAAACAAAAACACAATTTAACAATTTCAATAACAGTTTTCTTAAATACTATTTCAGAAATTATCTCATGTATTGATTCAAATATAGTTATAAAAGATATTAATAATAGATGAGTTAGTACATCTTGTGGTTTAAAATATTATTTACAAGAAATTTCATCAAAATCTTATATAGGTAATACACGCTTAATCTATTATATCTTCGTAACTTAGCAAATAATTATTAAAAATTAGATATATTTGAATTTCATATTTATTTTTTCAGTTTTACGGAAAATATATTTTTCGTTCATCACACACGTAGTTAACAAAATACAATCGAACTAAGTGAGAACTAAAACAATGTAGCACAAACACAACAATGCTACCACAATGAATAATAGGCAGAACAATGTTTGCTGTCAAAAATATTTAAACATAGAATAACAACCATGGTCTCTTCTCACGAAGAGTATACCCCAAAAAAATTACATTAACCTCTTCATATATAATCCAATATACACAGAAACTTAAATGGTGGTTAAATCAAACTCGCATGGTAATGTTGTCACATACCAAGGTGCACTAAGAATAGATTGACCTCATTGATAGGAAAACCAATATGCGTCATAAAGTTACTGCAGAAATAATCATATGATGTTCCCAAAGGCTCAAGCAACTTTGGATGTTGATCAAGAAATGAAGATATGCAAACAGTGGAGTGTGGTAAAGTCTCTACAAAATAACACAACTTAATTAATATCATCACAAAAAGGGATAACCCCTTTTCAAACAAATTATAATAACATTAAAAATCTAGTGGCATTAAATTAAATTGCAGTACATTGTTTAGGGTAATGTACTAGCATTTTAGAGTAAGTTGTGCTGCTTGTATTGCTTTCTTTAGCGAATATTGACCCTCTATCTTACCATCCATTATGGTTTCAACTTTCCTTTGGAAGAGAAACAAGGCTTGGTCCAATCAACATGTCAAGTACCCTCACGCCTGTCAGGCATTTCAAGATGAACAACACCAAACCCCCACACATCACTCTTCACATACAAGTGGCCTGTTCAAATATTTATACAGTTCACAGGCAAATGTACAAGCATTATACACTAGATTTTTATTTCTAGACTCCCTACCCGAACTTCATCTTCCATAGAGCATTGATTGTTTAAGTAGACTTTGTTATAATTTTTTGTTTTATTCAAAATTACAAAAGAAAGTTAGTACGCCCCTTATTTTTCACTACAGGAACAGTGAAGACGACACAAGTCCTTTCTTTTTTATTTTCTGTATAAATCTCTGAAACAACAAATCTAGTGATATTTTAGTAATTATAAGTTTAAGTCGGAGATAAAAAAGAAAGAATTCCGAAATTAATTCGGCATTGTTCATTATTTGCCATATATTGCTTCCATTTCCTTATTACATAGCATTGCATGTAAATAATCTCATCTCATATTACGCCTATCACTCATTAATACAGTAAAAAAAACATACAGTTAAAGCCGCTCCAATTGCCAAATGGCTGCAGATATTATTGACCTGTTGCGACATATTCTGAATTTTGGCCAACAAGAATACACTTAAAACTGTTTCTTTTTCTTTTCCAAATAAAAATAGTGTCTATGAAAGTTCAATACTGCCCAGATAAAGTGCCTTAGACCAATTTCAGGCCAGAGTGTAGTCGGAGCATACAAAGGACATGTAGTAGTCTGCCAAAGTAGAAAATTACTGAGGCGAGCTTCTCCAGAAGATCGGATCAAGATGTCTGGGTCAGGTGCAACTGCCATGTACATGTTCTTCTCAATATCCGCCAGTTTTATAAAAGGAAACTCATCTTGTATATCCTTTCTCTCTTCAGTCAATTCAACCAGCCCATTGTATAATGTCGTTTCAGCTTCAGTGTCGTTACCGATATGATTCTCGATATTATTCTCAAATAAACCATCATTCCTTGCAACACTTTCTACTTCGGTCCTATAAGATTTGATTGCATTTCGATATTCTTTACATGAATCTTGAGAAAGCAAATCAAAATCATTTCCTTTCAGGCCCTGATCAATTCTTGAAAACGCACCATTTGCAACTTTCTCTTCTTTTAACGCTTGAACTTCATTCAATTTTTCCTTGCAACATTCTTGAACAGCATGCACAATCTCGTGACGAGAAGTATACGCTACACAAATCAAAAGAACTCTCTGGTTGTTGTGGGCAGTAACTCTCGTTGCCTTTTCCACAGTAGCCCTGACAGGCTCTGTCAGTAGTTTCGTGTCTCCAATGAAATGTAATCTAACACCATACTCATTAATGAGACTTTCTTGTTCAAGCAACTCCTCTATCTTTATCCGCATCAGTTCCATCAAGGATTGAACTTCTGTAGACTTCCTTTTAAAGTTATCAATGCTGAATGCATAGACAGTTACATACTTCACTCCTAATTCATAGCAGTATCTAAGGAGGCACGTGAGAGCATTAAAAACAGAGTCAAAATTTTATTTTATATATATAAACATAAATGGCATAATTCAGGCATCAAATAAATTGGTTGCCTAAATGCAACTGCATATTAAAATAACTTCCCGAACAACAAATGACATCATATTTAATTGATGATTTAAGTATCACTACTCTAAAAGCGAATGGAACTATGAGTTGGGACTCCTATAAGTTGGTTGCAGCAACGAAGAAAGAGAAAAATCTAGGATTTAAAATATTCTTTAAAATGATCAAATTTTCCTATCAATAATATCAAAAACGAAAATATAATTTAAAAAGAATATACGTGGAAATAATCAATAATCACAAGTCAACGCGTAAATAAGTTTATGTTCCCACACCCATGAACCTAGTTAACTGGCACGTAAACTTGTTTTGTAGTAGACAATACATAAGCACCCTTTATATATATGTTTACATATTCAATGTTTAAATGCATTTGTACTGTGCATTCAACTTTTAAGATCGCTCTGGAAAATAGAACTTGGGCAAATATTTAGCACAATATTCAGGATTTAAAACCGAGGCCTTTGATTAAATAGGAACGATTCCGCATGTTAACTCACACATAATCACATTTAACATCTTAATCATTATGCTCTTTTTAGGTGATGAGAGGAGTGCAAGTTCCACAGAATCTAACAAGGCAGCAATTGATATAGGTGATTGTTGCTCCAACAGCATACATTTTGTTACTACCGAGTAGAATCGATCGACCGGATATGCTTAGTCGCTATTGAGTAGGTTAGACCGATCGTCCAAGGGCGATTGGAGTATGAATAAAATCGATCGGGTATGTAAGAGTTATGGAAGCTGATAATTCCCGGTCGGACGCCAGGGTTGCACTCGCGAACTCTTCAGCCGTTGGCTGGAGACAACCTTTTGAATGTCAATGAATGCATAATTAATGAGCATAATTAATGAGGTAACGACCGTTGTCGAGCAATTAAGGTGAGCATTGATCGTCATTATGAGGTAAATTAATAGATAATATTCTCTGAAACCATATAAATAACAATCGATTGAGAAGGTAAACTCTCTTATTTGACTAATTTTCACTAAACTTGCGAAGATAAATTCTGAATTGAGCGTCGGAGTGTTTTTTGCAGGTCACCCCACTTTGACATTGAGAGAGGAAGAGCCAGGAAGTTAGGCGAAAGCAAAAAGGACCGATCGGTGAAGGAGGAGTGTTCCCGAGCGATAGCAGCAAGAGTTTCCCTCGGTCCCTTTCAGTAGAAAGACATTTATTTCTGCCTTCAAAATCTGAGAAGGTTATGCTAAGCATGCTTGAACAACTTCATGCTGAGCCAATGAAAGTACACAGCAACAACAATTATAGGGAGAGTCAATGGCACCAAGAAGCAGTAGTACCTGTTATATTTGTCAAAAACAAAAATCAGAAAAACAATTAGTTTCTCTTTCTTCCTCAGAGACACAATACTAGTTACGAAATAACGGAAATTGCTTATACCAAAAATGATAGCAACAACACAGAATCTATTCCACCGATATATTTAATTGTCGATGATTATCAAACAGGTGAAATTTATTTTTCTTATTTTAGTCCAAGAGTCCAAAAGAGGCTGAAAATTTGGTTGTGGTAGACAGACAGTGGCAAAAGGTAGAACTCCTAACCTAAGGAGTTAATGCATATGAACCATATACCCAAGTTTGGAGGATCCAAGCCCTTATGAAAGAAAGAAAGAATCACTTAGGAAGCTAGGACAAACATCATGATGGACCAAGAGTAAAATGGTACTTCATTAACTACATCATAAAACAACCTCTCTCCTCAAGTCCAACAATTTGTTGGTTCTTCTGATTTGATCATTTCCCTAACAATTTTTTTTTTCAAAGCAATCATCAGTGAGGCTATTATGCTACCAAATTCACTGCCTTGAGTATCCAAGCTGTTTGGTTTAGGCTGCAATAGTATATGAAATGTTTCATGAGACGGTATACATAAACTACCCCTAATCTTGACTCTTATGTGCAACTTTGGGGTGTTTTCGAACAACTTTCCATTAGCCATAGACACTTTTCTTATTCAAATATAGATCTAAAAGACAAACTCTTTTTGCCCCTCGGAGATGTATGAAACAAGCAGACTCAAACGTGGTACAACCCTCAAGCTTTCACTTACTGGCTACACAAAGTGATAAGAAAGTCAAGAGCACAACCTTGTCTAATTTCTTACCACATTCGAGTCATCACCAAACACAAATTTCAAACTAAACAAATCAGATTCATGTCATGAAAGGGACATACAGTAACCATTTACTGTGTATCATGAATGACATGTTCGTGAGACACACAATATAACACACTCACTATAATCAGCATATAAAACAAAACAGCAATTAATGTCAATATTAGGAGCAATCAAATAGTTAATTACCAGTCATTTTGCAATGCAGAAATGAGGGGAAAATGAGAAGGTGGCAAAAGCTTGGAAATCACAGCAACAAAGAAAAACCCAACAAAGAAAACAGAACCAATTGACAGAAACAAGCATCCCCACAATTTTCTCTCATCAAATGAAGCCAAACAACGCATTGCATCACTCAACCTTCACCACAATCAAACACCTCTGAAGAGATTTCTGAAAACAAAAATAAGAGAATAAAATATTTGAGCTTCGTTCTATGATTATAAATCGTAAACTATAAATGGGATTTCATTTATTAAAAAAAATCAATTCACCCAAGAAAACAGTCGTGCTTACTAAAATCGAGTGTTAACTCGTAAAAACTTAGACGACTATATATACGTTCCCAAAAACATTGCCCGAGTTGAATCGTAAGCAAACTCGATTTTTGGAGCGGGATTGGTGGGCTCGCCGAGAACTCGGTAAGCTCCGCCAAACTCGCGAGCTTGCAGTCGTGTTAGAGAGTTCAGAGGGGTATTTTTTTAAACAAACGACATTCATTGTCGTTTCGCATGCGAAAATAAACAAAACTCACCGCGATTAGGGTTCGTTCATGTCCTCTACTGCTCGCGGGGTAGGGTTCCTTCTTCTTGTCGTC